AATGTAATTTTGTCAACTTTGTCCTTTTCGGAGCCATTAATAGTGTAAGTAGACAATTATCACTTATAAGAACTTAAGGTGCATTTTTCTAAAAAAAATTGTTATGTAAGACATCGAAATTTTCACACCGTTGTTTAGATAATTATCACTGTCATCAATTTCGAACGAAAAAAATATGCGTTGTCATTTAAAAAAAAAATTATGTCATCGCTGTCGTAAGTGGATTATCGAAAAAAAAATTTTTTCACATAACAAAGTGCCCTGGATCAAATAAAAATCGACGGGTCTCACCGTTTTTCGAAAAAAAATTTGTTTAACGAAAATATGAATTTTATGCAGAACTTTTTTACCACGCTGTATATATATATATACAGGGTGTCCCTGAAAAGGATGGACAACGCTTGACCACAGGTTCCTTGGAAACAAGACTATTTAGCCTATACACAAGTGCACGCCTACTGAGATATAGCCTTCTAAGCATAGAACAGATAACCTAGTTTTTTCATATAATTTGAAAACTGTTTTTCTTAAAAACTTCAAATTTGGTACACATATTTTTTTTTTCTATAAGGGCAATGTAAATATTAAATTTGGTGAGAATACATATTCGGGATGTTCTCTTTCTAGTGCCTGTGCGCCACTGGCTATCCCGTAACTTTTTTGTATGTACGCCAATGACGACAGAATATGTTTAAAAATAAGCATTATTTTAGATTTTTTGCCTCTTACAAAATTTTGATATCGTTTACGGATTTCGAGTAAATTTGGCATTTTTTACACATTAAATAATATAAAATCAGTTTAAGATAAATAGAACTTTCTAGTATGAGGTGCCATATAACAGAGAAACAAATTCATAACAATAAGCGTATCAGGAAAATATTTTTAATCGGCAATGTGGTACGTGGATACGTTGCATTTCATTTCCAACGTATCCACAATCAATATATATTAAAATCCTATAGCTCCGTCTGCGTCGCACGATCGCCCCGAAAAAGAGCCGATTTCCTGGACGAAAGGCTCTTTCCTGGGGCCGCGCAGCGGCCCCTGTCGCGGCGCTTCGCGCCGCGACGTCATTCCTGCGTTGCGACGTCGTAATTAGAACACGATACCTCGACGCCTTCTCCATGAATTTTCCGAATTCCCCAGGTTCTGCGAGGGGCGTGGTCCAATTTTTGTGTGAAAAGCAATAGTCCGACACGCCTTCCCGCTGAAATCTGACGGTCGCCGATCGCCTGGAATCGCGCGCGGTTATGGCTTTTTTATTTTTTATTTCCCTCATTTTCTACGATATTTTATTTAAAACCGTGCCGAAAATACTCATATTTATTGACCGGGTGCCTTCTTCCAACTTTTTATGTACAACTTTCCGCGAAATCAAACGCGGGATTCGAAATGCGGCCGTAAATACGTTAAAATGCACTGTCTATGAAGGCCGAAAAATCTGAATTTTGCCCTATAAAATTCCTTCTCCGCGAGCCTCGAAACGGCGTGCGACTTGGCACAGATACTCAGTCGTTCCTCCTTAGTCGTTCGGGGGCATTTTTGTAACGTTTTTTTCGCGTTTTCATATTTAATTTTGCCTTCTTTTTGGGGTCTGCTCGACGACAGACGACCATTTCGCAAGCCGTAAGATTGAAGCTGTAAGACACGCCCACCGGGAGAAAATTGGAACGTCGTTAGAAACGTCAGATTAATTATGTCAAAATAATTTCACGCCAAACGCGAAAGACGTCTTTGGGGTCGCGACGAACCGTTATTTTACCTTACTAGGCCTTTTTTAACCTTAATACATTGCTACGCCACGACATATACAGGTATTTCTTATTATTAGGTTAGGTTGTTATTTACATTTTCGCAGCTCTACCGTTTGACATGCCTAGGATTACGATACCTGTCCCCCGAATAAACGTAAGTACTTGCCCTCTAAAACAGCATAATTTTAAACCAATCCATAGTACCTAAACCCTTGAACCTTTGTATTAGTACATTTGCTTCGTTAATTTACTATATTGCATTCGTATCTATTACTCCCCAAACGTCAAAAGTTAAGAATAAGTTGGAGTTAAAGACTCTTTCAAGTTATAGGATGTCGTTATTTATCTGTGTTATCTCATTGTGGATCTTTTGCGAGACGACTTTGTGTTAGAAAAATGCAAATTTAACATTACAAAAATTGTTTATTACTTCAGCTGTGAACGACGACACTACGCGCTCAAGCCAGATTGGAAAACTACCATTTTGGCGGACGGACTGGGTTTCTCCGCGAGAACCGAAGCGGCATAACCGCGCCTCATCTCCCTTCGTTCGTCGCTTAATGAAATTTTTGCAACTTTATATTCGCGTTTTCAAATGTACCTTTCTGGGTGGACTTCTCACTGACATACGGCCATTTTATAAGCGAAATAGAGATTCAACCAGCCCTGAACGCAAATCGACGAAAATCTAAAAATCACGAAGAATGTCAGATTGAAACGTCAAAATAAATTTCGCTATATTTGACGTTTCCAATTGAGGTTAGAATATCACAACGAACCATAGATCGATGGAAGGAAAATACTAATTGATATTTGACGTATTCCGTAAGTAATTTAGGTTAGGAAATCAGACGGGACCATAGAACGTATAAACTACTGGATTGGAACTGTATCGATGCTTTCTTCGTTCAACATATTATTTAAAGCGAATTTTTGCCTAAGCACATGCACAGCGGTAAAAACGTCCCGTTGTATTTCTAAAGTGATGGTTTAATCTCAGACGAGGTTACCCCAAGATTTTTTTTTAACTTACTGCCGTAATTTAATTTTATATATGGACTCGTCTTTTTAAACCTTTCTATAACAAAAAAATATAAATTTTCAAATAGGTTTTTTATATGGGTGTCTAAATATTGCGTTGAAATTCGAACGGTCCAGGGAACGGGATTGCAGTATTTTTATGAAAAAATCTTATATCGTAGTAATCATATGCTTTTTGCAAAGGTATGTACCGAATGTTTCATAAAAATAACACAGGTGAACTTTGATTTTACTATTCTTTTCACTTTTTCTAATTTTTTTTTAAATCTTTTCATGAAAAGTTATATAGCTACTAACCAAAGTTTTTTTTGAAAATCCATATACTGCATGTTCTACATAACTGACCCAAGTTAAAATTATCGGTTAGAGGCTTCTGTATATTTCAGTAATTTATTGTGGCAATATTTTTATGAAAAATCTTACCTATATTGTAGAACTCAGATGCATTTTGCAAATTTATATACTAAGTGTTTCATAAAAATGACACAGGCGGACTAGGATTTTTTCTCATTTCACTACCTATCTAAATTTTCAAATAAATATTTCTACACAACGTTGTCAAATGTTTTTTACAATTTATGTACGGGATGTTTCATAAAACTGACACAGATGGACCAGATTTTCTCTGATTCATTTTGTTAATTTTTTCATGAATTCTTTTGAAGTTGTATATTTACTGACCAGCCACTTTTTAGAAAATCCATATATGTACTAGGTGTTCCATAAAATTGATCCATATCTGAAACGGGCAATTTTTATCCTTTGTCTTTATTTACTAGTCTTTTAATGAAAAATTGTATACTTATTAACCAGTTGTCTTTTTGAATTTTTATACTGAGTATTTATGACCAATAAAACAAAACTTTCCTTAATGTCTTTTTCCTTTTCTACATTTTGTACTGAAGTCTGCAATATTTTTATGAAAAACCCGACTAACCAGGTATTTCTTGCAATTTATGTACAGGATGTTCCATAAAACTGACACAGGTGTACCAGATTTTCCCTTATTCATTTTGTTAATTTTTTCTTTAAATCTTTTGAAGAAAAGTCGCGGGGCCTACTCCTTTTTGAAAAACATTCTCATCAAACTTTTATATACAGGGTGTGTAAAAACCAAAGTACAGGGTGTTTAAAAAATGTTATATTTACTAACCAGCGAGGAGAGCACCGCGGAGCGGTGCTCGGGCCGCGCGCGCCCAAGGCCCGAGAGAAAGGTCAAACTTCGCGTCAGCGAAGTTTGCCTACCTTTCTAGTACAATATTTAAAAAATGCAAGCCTTTTTCAAATTTAAAATGAAAAAACACAATAATATATTGTGAAAATTTGTTCAATATACGATGACTGATGCATAATTTTTAAAAATTTATTCTATGGAAAATAGTTGTTTAGGTTTTATTTAATTAACAATAACAATTTTAACAATAAAAGCCTTTTGAAAAAGTTCCTGATCAGGAACGAAACGTCAAGAAAGAAATAGATGCTGTTTCTTTTATCCTTTTTTTAACCGACTATCACACCAGAACCCAATTCCCAAGAAAATNGTATATTATTACATATTAAAGTATATATAAGCTTCAAATTTTAAACTTTAAATTTTCTATTATAGATGATTACCCCACTTCTTCCAATTTAATATCCTGAAAGGTTACACATTAAACTATATAAGGTGTTTACGTCTTTGTTTAATAAATGTAAAAATTGCCTTATTTTTGTCTTATTCGCTATTTTCAGCATTGTAAGCAAGGACTGGCCAGCATTATTGTATGTATTTCATCATTACGGCGTTGTTATTTAAAATACCTACCTCGCAGATCACAGATTAATACTAATGTGCATATGTACGCTACTTTGCATCTGTTAGACTGAACCAGTAAAATAAAAATACCTATACTTGTTGATATTTTGCTGGACATAAATTTATTAAATACCTATTTGTTATACCTACTACGCAAATGTATCATACTTACAAAGAAAATTATTAACTTTTTAAATGTATGGCTTGGCACTTGTATTAAGCTTTTTTAAAATTATGATTAATTCTAATTCTTTTTAGCATTTTATATTATAACTAAATTCTCATTATTTACCTTAAATGTGTTTTGGTAATTTAATATAAAATGATGTCTGTCTGCATTTGTAACACATCGATTTCTCTTAAAAAATTATTTTTGTTTTAGAGCAATTCAGCAAAGAAGTGACATGTCGTGTTTGTGGAAACTGCTTGCAGATAATTGTTTATTTGTTGCGAAACTTCCAAATAAGTATTGTCATATGCTTATACCGATTTTTTTTCTTGAACACGAAGAGTTGGAAGGAACAACAGTTGCTGAATCTCAGGATTTATATATTGTGGCATCAAGGTAGGTATACAGGGTGTTAGTAAATAAGTGCGACAAATTTCAGGAGGTGATTCTACATGAGAAAATAATGGAAGTTTACTTATAAACGTATGTCCGCAAATGATTCGTTTTCCGAGATACGGAAACTTAAAACTGACGATTTAATTTATTGCTCTGAAACCGGTCGAGATGTGCAAATGAAATTTGGTGGGTTTTAAGAGGTAGTTATTGCGCACTTTTTGACACGCAATTAAGAATTTTATGTTCATCATTGGCGCGCGTACGGGTAACAATCTCAATTTTTTTAAAGAAAAAAATGATACGCGATATTACAAATTAAAAATCATTTTTGAATTCCTCGTTTAATTTGTGACAAAAAATCTCTCTTGCCTTTTCTTTGTATGGGGCGCTACGACAGTGTATACGAAATTTCCATAACAATCACTTATGGGCTGAGGAAAACCCCCATGGAATCTTTGAAGCTCATTTTCAGCATCAGTTTTCCATAAATGTATGGCTTGGGGTAATTGATGATCATTTAATCGGTCCATATTTCCTCCCACAACGACTAACAGGCGAATCTTATCTTAATTTCCTACAGGAAGAGTTACCTGTTCTTCTTGAAGAAATTCCTCTACAGCTGAGACAACACCTATGGTACATGCATGATGGTGCACCAGCCCATTTTAGCATTAATGTACGTAATCACTTAGACACAGTATATCCAAATCGTTGGATAGGTAGGGGAGGTACGGAACATTGGCCTGCTCGATCGCCGGATTTAAATCCTCTTGATTTTTGCATTTGGGGTTTTCTTAAGTCATTAGTTTATTCCACTCCCGTTGAAAATGTTGATGACCTGAGGAATCGAATTATAGTCGGCTGTGAGACAATAAGAAATATACCAGGAATATTTGCGCGAATACGACAATCAATGAGGCGAAGAGTTGAATCTTGTGTCACGTCTGAGGGAGGTCATTTTGAACATTTGTTGTAGCTTTGCGCCTTTTCAAAATTTTATTAGTGTTATTTTCTGTTATTGTTCTGGTTTAATGTTATTGTATTAGATAGTTCTTGATAATGTATTAAAGAAATAAAAAATACGCGTTAAGATGTTTTATTTTTTTGCATCAAAACGGCGCCCCATACGAAGAAAAGGCAAGAGAGATTTTTTGTCACAAATTGAACGAGGAATTCAAAAATGATTTTTAATTTGTAATATCTCAGTGGCGTACCATTTTTTTCTTTAAAAAAATTGAGATTATTACCCGTACGCGCGCCAATGATGAACATAAAATTCTTAATTGCGTGTCAAAAAATGCGCAATAACTACCTCTTAAAACCCACCAAATTTCATTTGCACATCTCGACCGGTTTCAGAGCAATAAATTAAATCGTCAGTTTTTAAGAAAAACTTTGACACCCCGTATCTCGGAAAACGAATCATTTGCGGACATACGTTTATAAGCAAACTGCCATTATTTTCTCATGTAGAATCACTCCCTGAAATTTGTCGCACTTATTTACTAACACCCTGTATAATTTCTGCTGTATTCGAATCTTATTCATATCAATATTTTTAAAGGTCATATTCACATTTTGGAAACATTACTGTAAATTATGTATTACAAACATTTTTATAATTAGTTACTATCGCGGGAAATTCGCAAATCCTAAAGAATTTTTGCTCCCCCCTCATTTTCGATGGTGCTGAATACGAATCAGAAGTTAATTTTGTCAATCGAATTTAGAAATTTATCTATCTACAGAATTGAATTAGGAAAATTTAACCTTAACTTTATGTAGAAATTATATAGCGTCACAAAAAATAGTGGGCTAGGCCGTGGACTAGACCGTAATACGTTGACAAGTTTGTTTTTAAATCTTGCCAGAAAAAATCAAGGGCATAAGGTTAATGATGTGATTAGGCGAATAAAAAAAATGTAGTCAAGCGTCGTGTGAGCTCAGCCGCACCAGCTTCGTATAAATCCCGATAATGTAAATAAATTCCTGCTTATAAATAAAATGATTAATACACAACACCTTGATTTTTTTTATCCAAGTCATGGATATTGTATATTTAAGGCCAAAAGCCGCGAATATTGAAGTAGCTTAAATGAAATAATTAACAGTATGGTGGTTAGATGGCATGACGTAGTGCTGAGGAGTAATTTTTTTCTTTTTTCGTGCCGGAGCGAGTAACGTATTTTAGAATCTCTTTAGAATTAGAATTTGTCAGGCGCTAATATTTTTTTACGAATTTACAAACTTAGAATTAGAAATAATCACTCACTCTAGGTCAACTTTTCTCGGCTTCTTTATGTAACTTTTGAATTTAGTTTCAAGATTTGAAACAATCAGGTGGTTTTTAATAAAAATACTATTTTTTAAACAATAAGTAAAGTATATATTTATTTAAAAATAATTTAGAAGTGATAATAAAGATATAGATAAATGTAAAAATGTATATTTCGACTATATAGAATAAATATCATTTAGATTTTACAAGCGTTTTCAAACACGCTGTCGGGAAACAAAGTGTAATGTACAAATAATTTTCAAAATTTATAAAAATATGTAAATATCAAGCGACTCTAAGAAAAAGAGTACGCAGTATATAAGATAATTTCGTGATTGAGCTTTCTTCACTTATTTGAAAATGAACAAATAAAATCGTTTCAAAAAATTTTAAGTTTTACAGACCGTCTAAAGAGAATCCTCTGTATATGCGTTTTTAGGTTTTACCTAATTATCACAACTAAACTTCAACCACAGTACTAAATACTTAAAAAATACTGTTTTTAAAAGAGCACACGAAAAGCGATAGTACAAAATTTACTTCATCCAATCAGGTCGCTGTGTTCGAGGTAGAACGAGCCCTCGACGCTGGTGGCATATAAATTCGATAGTCGCAATTTGGAGCTCATTCAGCTCAGTTCCGAGCGAGCAACCGAGCTGAATAGACGTGTCCGTGAAGTGCTAGTGCAAGGAGCAAGACAAATCTATCTGCCTTTATTAGGACAAACACTCACCGGACAAATCAACAGACAAACACAACAAATACAGCAATTGACACAACAAATTTCACCTACAACTCACACTTAAAAAATCTGACGAAAACACACTACGACTACAAGACAAATTAGACAAACTACTAAACAGACAAACACACGACATTACACAAAACGCGCAATACACACACATTCGCCCACACCCACCCCCTCACGTACAGACAAACGCAAAAAGGACTCGGCAGTCCTCGAGCGACGAGGAAGCCCCTAAACACAAAAAAAAAAACAGACCAAAAAAACACTAAACCCACACAAACAAACACACTCCCCCAACCATCCACCAGTACCAAACAAAAAACAGATCACAAACACGAAACAAAACACAACACAAAGCACACCAAATACACCACAACAGACCACTAACACACAACAAAAAAATCCCCCCAGTAACCTTGCGTAAGCAAGAGCGCTGGACGCAAATCAGTCAGTTACTCGACACACAAAAAATCAATTACACCAAAGCCAAGCTCACGAATGACGGGGTAGCCATCTACCCCGCCACACCGACAGACCACAGACAGACACCTTATGAAAACACTCGTGGACAGAGGCGAGGAGTACCACACTTTCACTCTCAACGAAGATAAAACGCTGAGGGTGGTGATACGTGGAATACCCACGGGTGTTTCATCAAGTGAGGTCCAACTCGACCTCGCACGACAAGGGTTCCCAGGTGCAATAGTGTACCGACAAAACAAACAGGAAATGCCCCTGGTCCTAGTTCAGGTCCCACCGGACAAGGAGAACATCGTGACTCGCTGCTTCTCGCTCATGGTTCGAGTATAGCTGCAGCGAAAGCAGCGGGTTGCCACGCAGTGCCACCACTGCCAGCGGTTCGGCCACGGCCAGACCCGGTGCACAGCTGAGCCAATGTGCATAAAATGTGGCGAAAGCCACAGCACTAACGTCTGCAAAAAGTCAAAAGACATGCCCGCCAGGTGTGCAAATTGCGCCGGGCCACACCCTGCCAGCTATATGGGGTGCCCTCGGTACCCCAAAGCTAAAAACACAAAAACACCAAACACAAGGCACACAGACAACACGCGATGCAAAACACTACACAAGCGCACAGACAACCCTTCCTACCCATCCCTATCACAACCCTGGCCTTACACACGCTGACATGACTAGAAAAACACGAAACACACAAAAACACAACACCTCACCACACGCACACAGACACGACACCCTCCCAACCGGGCGCGGCGGCCCTGATTGACGCAACGAAGCGTCTTCAGGACTGCGTCTAGTTGACGACCATGGTGTCAAATATGCAAAAATTATTCGACTTCTAATGGCTCGTTGGCCTTCCCAACCCTCCTCGCTGAGAATTTCGTCCTGGAACCTTGACGGGTTCCGGACCAAAAAATGGAACTCGTGGACATCTTGAACCGTCTAAACATAGACGTTATGGCTGTCCAGGAGACCTACGTCAGCGAGACATCCCGTACCTCCATCCCTGACTATGACATATATAGACATGACAGAAACCCTAACGGGGGTGGTGTTGCACTCATAGTAAAGAAGTGCATCGACCACTATCCGCTGCAGCGGCTCCAAACTCAAAATACAGAGGCCATGGCGATAGCGATGAGGTCGCTACGGCATGGAAACGTTGCGGTGGTGTAATGTTACCACCCACCCCGACTACCACTACTTGACAATGACTTAGACAAAATCCTTTCCTGGCCCCAGACAATTGCCATCGGGGACTTCAACGCAAAATTCCCTATATGGCACAGCAGTACAACGACCACAAGAGGTCGAGTGCTGCTGAATTACCAAGACAGACATGACGACTTGACAATACTCGGACCGACAGACCCGACACATTACGGACCCACATGACGCCCCGATGTCATAGACCCTTTTAAAATCTATACCGTTAAATGCCCAAATATCCACCCAATACGAAGAGTCTTCCGCCCACAATCCCATAATTCTGGATCT